TCACTACCAACAGCGCATCCTCATGCCTTGGGCTATTTAACCTGACCATCCAAGATTATACTGGCAGTGCCTCCTCAGGTTACATGCTTCAACTCCAGGGCCTTTCCCCTACCTTCAACAACACCGATGTAACCTCAGTCCTTGCTGCACTGGGGACAATAATAACAGCAGAGGCGGAGGGGACTGCCACCCCTCTGGCCCCATTTTGCCATGCCATTCTACGCCCACCGCTCCCCAACTGCCCACACACACGCTCCCTTGCACCCTTTTTCCTCACGCTCCCTATACCGTGGCAGAGATGCCACCCTAAGCCCAACCATGCCATCCCTCCCTTTTGCCACTTCAGCCACTCACCCTCTAATCACCCCCTAGGATCTTGGAGACAACTGGCCCCCACCTATGCCTGCAGCATTAAGATCTCCCATGCCAACCGCAGTAACTGGGACCTCTGTGGGCCACACGCCTGCATGGACATGAGGCCGTTACTGGCACAGCAGGGCCTTCAGCTTTCCAACGGCACTTACATTAACACCAATCCCTCTACTTGTGCCAAAAACAAAATCCTTACATCCATTGATCACACAACATCCTGGCCCCCTACCCCCATTTGCGTGCAGCCCCCATTTGCCTTATTGCTAGCCAATGTTACCTCCGGCCCTCAGGGACAACTCAACTGCTCCAATACCAACACCACCTGTGTACTTGTGGCCTGCTGGAACCATCCAGCTCACATAGTTCTCTTTATGTGTGAACCCATGGCGTTTTGGGTTCCAGTCACCAATGCAACCCACTTCCATTCTGTTGACCTTATAGAGCAGACAGCCTTCTCACAAGCCCCCCGCTTAAAACGGGATTTCGGGGTCACTGCCGCTCTCAACTCAGCCATCATCCTTGCATTAGGGTCAGCTGCCACCGCTGCAGTGGCTATCACCCAATCCTCCACTACTGTGGAGACACTCAATGAGGCTGTGTCCAAAACCTCCTCTACCTTTCACACTCAATCCCTTATCAATCAGCATCACCAGGCAATTAATGTGTTACAACAACAAATTGATCTCTTATGTGAAGAGCTGGCAATTACCAAAGACATGGCTCTGCTAGCTTGTGACCCTCGCTTTAGGTCACTTTGTCTCACCCCCCCCCATAAAAATACAGAGTATTACTGAAGCGCGCCTACAACTCGTGCACTATATTCACGGCCACTGGAATGAAAAGTTTCTTAATTACTGTATATTACTAACTAATCAAATTGTTGCTCTAAATTATACCCGCGCCCCGACGCTGGACATCAATTCAGGGTTCTTAGAGAAAATCTGGTCTAATCTAAAAGCACTATTTGACCCGTCTTGGATTGTCACTTACCTACTCCTGACAGGCATAATTATTCTTCTCTTTCTACTTCTTAAACGTCTTGTTCTTCATTCCCACAGTCAAAAAATTTCCATCACTTGGTGTATCAGGCCCTCAGAGCAATACACGAAGATGATTTCAATCCGCCCTATGCAGCCCGACAGATTTGGCTTGCACAAATGTACGAGGCTTCCTACAGATAATTCCCCACCTCGACTGATCTCCCAGGACGATACCCCTTGGAGGGCTGGTAGCCAATGACGGGTAAGATCCTGTTGCGCTGAATCAACCTAAGCCAGGCCATGGACATGTATGCCCATGCTCTAATGACAGGTCAGGTTCATGCCAGAATAGGGCAACCTAAGACAGGCACAGTCCATGATACTGGGGTCATCCTGAGGCGGAGCTGCCTACAGGCTCTCGCTGGACAGTCATTTTTAAAGAAAAAGGGGGGAAATGTAGCAGGAGGCCTCCAAAGGTGGCGTGGACCCAGAGCCCTGGGATTCAGCAAGAATTCACTTCACTTCTTGGTCTGCAAATAGCCCGCCAAAAGGAGCCGATGCCTCTGTATCCTGATCACGAGCGCAGTGACTGCTGACAGACTGCGTGGCGCAAACCAATCAGAAAATGATATGCTGACTAAAGGGACTTGGGGTGGAGAAAAGGGAAATATAAGGCCTGCCCCCTCCTGCATTAAATGAGCCTGCAGCACCTCTCCTAGTGCTTGCTTCTACCTGACTCCCAGAGTCTGTGTGTTGTGACTCCACGCCTCTTGCCCCCCCAATTGGCAGGCGACCCTATCCAGGTTAGGGTTTCACAGCTGGCCTGAGGAGAACCCGCAACACTACCTAAAACTTCACAAGAATCTATTATGCTGATTTCAGTTATCCAAGCTTAGGGTAAAAATAAATACTAGTTCCAAGATAAGTCTGAAGAGGGTTACACATCTGATTCTGAACCATTATTTCAACCTGCACTGACCTCAGACCATCTTCAACAAATATCTCCATCTCTCCATGTTCTGTGTATGTGTGGGTGTGTGCACCCCTGTGCACACATATGAGGCCAGTGGAGGACATCAGATGACCTATGCTATCAATCTCTTGAGAGACGGTCTCTCACTGAACCTGGAACTAAGCTTGTGGCCAGCAAGCCCCAGTGATCCTTCTGTCTCCACTCACCACAGCCCTAGGATTACAGGCACACAGCCCCCTTTAGATTTGTGTGGATACATGGGATACAAACTCAGGTCTTCATGCTTACATAGCAAAAACTCTTTCCCACTGAGCTATCTCCCTAGCCACCGCATCTTCCATCCTGGATGCAAACTGTTTGTGGAGTAGGTTCCCTCCTTCCATTGTTAGATGGATTCTGGGGATCAAAAATCAGGTTGCCAGGCTTTTTTGGCAAGTCTTTTTACCAGCTGAACCATCTTGCAGGCCCCACTTAAGTAATTTTAAACCCTGTAATTTTCATAATCAAAACAGTCTGGAAACTTGAAATTATGTTATTTATATACAAAGGTATACCATTCACTTATTTATATATATATTAATATATCTAACACAAACTGCTAAGTGGAAAAGTAACATTACAAAATAAATGTAGCACTTAATTCTTCATGTGAAACTATGGAATGATCTATGTGTGCACAAACTTCATCAGAGCACTCATTTTTCAGTTAGGCTAAAGGTTCTACGACTGCTCAAAATCCTTCTGAGACTGAAATAGATCCTTAGCCTACAGAAAGAGTCTAACAAACTCTTTTTAAGAATCTATATTCTGGGGCTGGAGAGAAGCCCCAGCAGTTAAGAGCACTGGCTGCTCTTGCAAAGGGCCACAGTTTGGCTCCCAAGACCCACATGGTGGTGAACAACTCCAGTTCCAGGGGATCTGACGCCCTCTTCTGGCCTCTTTGGGCTTTATAGCCATGTGGTGCACTTACATTCAGTAGAAACACTCATACACATAAAATAAAAGTTTTTTTTTTAATGAAAAAAAATTTATAAAGTCAGCTATGGTGTTAGACATGTATAAATCCCACCACTTGATAAGCAGGGCAAGGGTTTTGAGTTCAA